CTGCTTCTGGCAATTCAGCTTTCACTGCTTCGATTAGTCCCTAAAAATATGAAACAATTAGATAGGAACTAAAGGTATAAGAAAAAAAGACAATGATAATCAAATGCTTACTTTTGAACTATCAGAGATAAGAACAAAGCTGCTGCCATTTTGAAGCCCTAAATTAGCCTTGATCAGCTTGATAAACCATAACCAATAGTCAGAATTCTCAGCTTGTATGACGGCCCAAGCAATCGAATAAATCTGATTGTTTGCATCATGACCTACCACAGTAAGCAATATACCTTTTGTTGCAACCTTCAAAAAGTTCCATCAAGCCTAATGATTGGCCGACAATTCTCTTTCCAACATTCTCTGTTTGTCGCAAAACACACATATAACCGATTAAATACATCTAAACCATCAGCATTAGGGATAGTTTCAAGTACAGCAGTTGATCTCAGGTTTGAAGTGATTATCTCTTTGACATAACCACAGATATGAGTAACTGTTCTTCGTACTCCTTCTCAAGCCATTTCAGAGCTAGAAGTCTTCCTCTCTGCATTGATTTCTTGAACTCATTAGTTTCCAAATTTCCTTGATCTCTTCTTGAATTTTCTCAGGCATTAGATTAGCATTTAGCCTCAGTTTGTCCAGGAACAGCCTTGCTATAACCGGACTTTTTAAAATCTTGCATTTCCATTAGGAGTACAACTGTGATACTTGTACCTACTCTTCACCAACCACTTTTGGCTCGGCTTATCATACGAGCAATAAACCCTCCATTTATATTTTTTTTCTTTCAATTTCACACTTAAAGCTAAGTTTTGTCTTATCCCATCTATCTTGTTCATTTTTCTTCCTTTGCTCAGTGCATACTCTAACACCGCCTCCTTGAATTCAAACCCCGAATAGAAAGCTGTTCCCAAAGCTTATCATCTAATTTCCTTCTCATTATTTTATCTCTGAAAACCAGTGGATCATCCTCTTCATCTGAGCTTTCGGGAATGGTATTACGGCCGACATACATCTCATCTTCAAAATCGGCTAATGATTCTTCAATTTCATGCTCATAGCGATCCATTATTTCCTTGTCATCTTCATAGATGTCATCTCCATTTTCTGCTCTAGTCTCATCTCCTTTTCTGCTCTATACTCATCATCTCCTTTCTCACTTTCATACACATTTTCTCTATCATTCTCAATGTTGCCAGAACTGAAACAACAAACCAAATTGCATATGATTTTCCCAAAATTACATCACGTTCACACAAAAAAAAAACTATGATTTTGAAAATTACCTAAGAACAATGATGAGATCACCCATCGAGATCACCTTCTCCTCCTCGATTTTACGTCAAACTCAAAACCTCTCCTCCTCGATTTCAAGTCAAACTCAAAACCTTTCCTCCTCGATTTCAAGTCAAACTCAAAACCTCTCCTCTAGATTTCACGTCAAGCCCAGAAACCCTAATCCCCTCTACTATTTTGACTTTACCTTTAACTGTTCTTTACTTTAACCATTTTTTTTACTTTTTTTCTTTTTGCAGGAAAGGTTTTTTAAACGCAATTTCTAAACACGGTTTTGTCTTAATTATACACAATTTTTGAAAATTGATTACATATGTGGAAATAATTAGATTGGATAAGTTTGGGTGGTTTATTCATGAGACTTTTGAGTTTGGGGAGTATAGTGATGAGGTAAAAAAGCTGGGGGGAAATAAGTAGAGATTGTAGAGTTGAGGGGGTGTAGAGAAATAAACCCACTGAATAACACCCCCTAAGTTCAGTTTAAAAAATCAAATTCTCATTGAAAAAATAAAGTAGGAAGATAAAGTTAAAAAATGTTCACTTATCAAAATCCACCCCTAGAAATTTCTTATTATCATCAGAGATATTTGAGTGACATATTTTTTAGGAGGAAATTTTCCACCTCTCAATAATACAAATCTAAATTGACAAAATGTTATTGTCCTTAGATTAAACCAAGAGAAAATCTATTTAAACTGAAATCTGTAAAAAGATAGATAGATAAAAAGGTAAAGAGTGTGCAGTAATCCTGTCACACTTTGCTTTTGAATATGCATATAAGTATAATCAAGTTTGTTTGATATCGTCTGTTGCACTGACCCTGCACTAACCCAACTGTTTGGTTTTCTTCATTAGCGTTTAAAAATGATTGAAGTGAAGCTACAGTTGTTTTGAAGGAGCAGAACCACCAAAGGCATACATCCATAGCAACTTTAATGGCTAGAACTTTGCGGTCTAAAATTTGTGGTATAGTATTTGTGGATCTAAAACTTGCGGTATAATGCTTGTGGAACAGTAGTTTGGTGAACTGTTTTTATTTTCTGTTGTTAATTAGATTCATAAGAAAAAGAAATTTTATCTAGGATGCTTTTTTTTATCTTTATCTTTTGCCGAATTTAAGTGAAGAGAAGGTGACACAATCTTACATAAACTAGAAGCTTTAGGACACATTGAAGGTGTAGGACAAAAAAGGTTTGGCCAATGCCAGGTCACATTTTTCATATTTTGACAGTTATTAACACCAAATAAAAAAAAAAGATATTTTTAGTCTACTTTTGTTCAATATACTAACAGTTACAATTTTTCGATAGTGTAGGATAAAAAAGGTTTGGCCAATGTCAGGTCACAATATCAGGTCAATGTCAGGTTTGGCCAATTAACACAAAATAAAAAAGATATTTTTAAGTCTATTTTTATTCAATATACTAACAGTTACAATTTTCCGATGGTGTTTTTGACGACTGTGTTTTTCTATTCTAAAGTTTTCTTTAAAAGTTTAACTTTATTTTATTATTTAAAATCATTTCCTTTTAAAGTTTAACTTCAGTTTCATTTAAAAAATCTCACTTATTAGAAACCACCCTAGAAATTTATTATTATCATTAGAGATATTTTTAGGTGGAAATTTTTCACTTCTAAATAATACAAGTCTAAATGACAAAACTTTATGGTCCGAGATTACAAATGTAGTAATTTAATTCTATAAAACTAGTTTAGCTTTGTTTGATAGAATGAGAATGTATTGTCCATCCTCTGTCGGTGGACTATATTTCAAGGTAAAAAAAAAAAAAAGGAAATTTGATTTAATATTCTAAAATTGTTATATAATTTGAAAACTAACCACTGATTTAAGTTTTTTCAAAAAATAAATTTTATTAAGTAAAAAGAGAATAATACCAATTCAATTTTGAGAATTTACAAGATGAAAAAATATTTGGATTCTTAATTTTTAATAAAATATATGAGATCAACATCAACTTCTTATAATCTATGTAATAATTTAACTTTGTCGTAATGATTTTTCAATCAACATTGCACCAAACAATTTTCTAATCCAAAAATCAGTTTACTTAGACCAAAAATGCCTATTCAAATTCAGTAAAATTATTCTATCATTTGGTCTACTTAAAAGGAAAAGTTCCAATATAGTAGAAATTATAAGTCTAATACACCATATAGGATAAGCCCATCAAAAGAGCTTCATTTCGTGTTTCCAACATTGAACTAAGCAAAATAATAATAAATCAATCCACAAGATTTCTTTGGATTTAATAGACCAAACAGTTACAGTTTTTGCTGATTTAATTCACTAACATGATTTTAGGTACAAGCATGTTCGGTTGATTTCATGAACTTTTAGAGCTTAAACTCCCTCAGCTTCAAATGAGAATCTTTTATATCGATATTAGTGTATATCACTATTACAGATAAAACATGCTTGAGCCAAAAATCATGTTAATGATAAGATACAATAACATCGATTATATTAGAGGGAAGTGGTGGTGAATTACAACTACTCATTTCCTTTCAATATAATCTACAGAAGAATTTACACTTTGCATTATTCGACTAACAAAAAATTAATATAATCTTGTGCATGAAGATACGTTATATATGTTATTTCTAAGTTCTAACACTTGCATTTTTAGAAAACGCTGCCAAAGTAAAGATACACAGTAACATTGATTACACTGATATGAGGAAGTTCAAATGATTAAACAAATAATATATTTAAAACAATTTCTATGTGTTTAATATATCAGGGATATTTGGTAATTTGAAATTCAAAAAGTTAGTTTTCAAAAAAATTAAACACAGAGCTTAGTTTTCAAAATATATAAATTTTTAGAATATTCAACCAAATCTCCCAAAAACTATTTTTTATTATATAGTTACCTTATTTCTGAACGTAAATATATGGGGTATTCAATCTAATATTTGAGAGGATTTGAAATGATTAAATTTTTGATAAGTTTTAGATGATTTAAGTAAATTAAATAAGTTTTTATGAAATTCTATCAAATCTCATCTAAAACCATAGGATTTGGATTTTTTGATTTTTTTATCTAAAAAACTCCACCAAAACATATTCAAATCACTAAAAAAAAATTAAAATCTATTACTTAAAATATTTTCAATAACAGTGGATTTGAAGATTCATTTTCAATCACTAGTTCAACAACATTATATTTTAAAAGACTTTTTAAAATTCATGTTTGAATAACATAAGATTCTAGTTTTAGTATAAATCAATGCTATTACACGCTTTTATTTTTGTTTTACTGGGGTCAGAACATAAATATAGGATCTTCAGTCTCTATTGTAATTTAAAAACGACGACTATTTTTACATAATTGTCCATTTTGTAATTTATGTTTTTTCTTCAACCATTTTGTGTTATGGTTCCAATCTTAGTATTACTTTTTTACTTGTGTATTTGACTATATATATGATGATAGTATTCTAGTATAGTAGTATCGTTGTCAATATCAAACAATATTATGATTTATGATGCATGGTAGATAGATACTATGCAATAGATACATAACTTGACGAAACAATCACTTTGCTAGTTACTACAAACCTAATTAATATCAACCTTATACTCTTTCGTCTGAAAACAACGTCGCACCCCGAGACTCCATTACCCGGAAAAATACTAAAGACGTGTGTTTCAATTTTTACGAAGATGGTTAAAAACATAAGAAAAATGACCAAAAGTACCAATTAAGATCACGATGTAAACAGAATAGACCTGAAGGAGGACTCTATAGCAAGATCCATAACGACCACAAAGTAGATTTAAAAAAAAAAAAATTATGCATTAATACAACACAACTAACCCAAGAGATGTAAGTAAAGAGACAAATGCATAGAAGCAACTTGACGACCGCTGCAACATGGACGGACCTGACGAGACATTTGACTGACATTACCACACCCGCTGGATCAGACACACCCCTTCTCAACCCCCACAAACATGTCTACGACTCACTGGAACAGACCAAGAAAACACACACCGTTCAGAGATTTTGGACATCCTCTCTTATAACTTGGGTTTTAATCATTCTAATATAGTTCAGAGATCTAAGAAAGATTGCGTCAAATTTGTTTTCATATAACAAATATCTCCTGCTTTCACAAGGCATAAAATCTACTACACAGGCTATTACATCTGCGAGTTTTCGAGGCAAGCAATTTATTAACAAACAGATGACGAGGCCGCATAGATACATGGCATTACGAACCTGGTCGTTCTCTTCTTGTGCATTGGAAGGAGATTCGTTCGACTGGTCACCTGGTTTATCAGCTCCACAGTTTTGCCTGTTGCATTTGCTCCTGAATGGATAGTTTATGTTTCCACAATTGTCACACTTCCAGCTCCCTTCTGGTGCCTTTTGTTCTGATAAACAAAACATGTCACTATATTAGTCTCAAAGTTGATCAAGTATGTAAGCCGCAATAATATTATTGAATTTCTATGAGGCTTACTGGAGTTTTTATCCGAGCTTCCACCACCCTGCTGCAATTATAAGATCTATATGTCAGAGATTTACGAAAACAATCCCAAATAAGCAATCTACATGATTAAGCAAGCTGCTTGTTGATAGCCAACTGAATTAGTCAAGCCCTAGATTTCAAATTTATGTATCTATTCGGTATGTGATGATACAGTAAAACTGAAACCAAAAAAAAAAAAAAAGCAGCACAAACCTGTGACCCAGGCTTTGGAGTGTTGCACTTTCTCATGTTACATACAATTCTGAACGAGAAGTTTACATTACCACAATTCGGACATGTCCAATCATTATCACGAGTTGAATCTGTAAGTGAACACAACTAAGTATATCAACTTGACTATCACAAATAAAATATATAACTTTACAGCTGACGTTCTAGAATGGGGGAAAAGCATAACCAGATTAGCACATACCTCTCTTTTGAGGCTTTTCATCTGGAAAGAACCCGGGTCTTGGCATCTGCAAAGAATGACTCACACATATTGTTAAAGATTTCAGCTCAGGTTACACGTCCAACGACTTATAATATTTTGCATGTGATCAGAACCAAGCATCTAACTGTTATACATACCATAGCGGCGGCAGCAGCAGGACCCATGGGCATACCAAGGCCATACCTGTCCATTGGTGGAGGCATTCCATACATACCACCTGGCAAAAGATCTCAAACAAATGCATCAGCCAAATTAGACACAAATAAAATGGTGATAATTGGAAGAGTCTTCGAGCAAACTGGGAAATCGCCAGAAACCAAGTACATACCACTTCCCATCATAGATCTACCATGGTATGGTGGTGGTCCAGACATGTGTAGTGGTCTGTAATGAGCTCCAGCAGGAATTCGGCTATTATAGTTAAAATGATAAGGCGAGCCCCCAGAAAATGGGACGTCATAAGGAGGCATAGACGACCCATTAAAGATAGAGGATCCATATGGAGATCCGCCCATATATACTGAAGGGTGGCCCCCAGATCCTAAATATGGCCCTGGTGATGAGAAACTTTGTGGAGGTTGCATAGGTTTGGGAGCAGACTTCTGTTACAGAAATACAACAAATTGACCATCAACAAGCCTGGAAATAATTTATAAGAGAAAACCAAAGTCGATAATTGTTTAAACGGGGATCATAATCGCCACTGGTAGTCTGTATATTGCTATTCGTGTTGGAAGTTGGAAAACATACGGGTTCCGTATTTGAAAGAGTACTTTCTATTTCTCTAATGGAATCAAAGTGCAAAACCTAGAACCACCGGAAGAATCCCAACAAAACTCAAGAAAATGCCTAAATTTCCTTCACATTCAGCTAAACTCTTATTTATCCTACAACTTCCAGCAACATCTGTTGGTGCTGAGCTGGAACTGCAACTGTCACACAGCCAAAATCTTCTGTCTGCACACAGACTACAGTGGATGCAATGGACTGCACTACAGACAGAACACTAAGGCTGGAGTTTTACTTCAGTTCTATTTTTTCATAACAAACATCTGAAAATCCTTATCAAAACTACTCATAATGTGCGACTCCAAGAGCCCTACTAAGACCAATTAACATAAAGATTACGGTTATACACCATGACATGAGACAAATGCTCTAGCCGCATGCCAAGAACCCAATGAACTTTCTTTGCAAAACCAACTCCCAAATATGTCAACATACAAACTGTTTCGTATAATTTGATACTTCAATACAAAAATTGACTTACTCCATTGTGATCTGCAGGTCTAGGCTGAGTGCAATTACGCATGTTGCAAGTTGTCCTGAATGAAAAATTGACATTACCACAACTGGGACAGGTCCAATCATCTTCTCTGCGCCCACCTATCCACGACCAAGAGAGTTAACCAGACAGCTATTCATCATTTGTAGAATGAGAAACACTCAAAGAAACTCGAATTGTCCAAACTCTATACTCTTACAGAACACAAATGTTTAGTTTGATGCCGTACCGTCAGTTCTAGCACGCTTGGCTGCTGAAGAATTTCGGTTGTCTACCTAAAAAAAAATCAGAGGAACGATGTCAATCAAACGACACACAGATCAGTGGTACGAGGAAGGATCTCAGAAACGCATAAGTCATAACAGTCGCGAAATTGAAATTAAATGATTATATGTGATTCTGGTGATTATAATACTGAATTTCAGTAAAATCAAGCAGAAGCAACAAGCTCCCTCTCGATTCAGTAGTGTTAGATCTGCGATATTCTTTCCCAGCACTATAAGAATAAAGAAGGTGGGCACTGTACCTGAGACATAGCAGAGGAATGGTCGGAGAAGTAGCGAAAGAAGCGGAGAAGGAGGCGACACGGCGACGAGGAGTCTCTCGGCGATTTAACCCTTGCCCTAAGACTAACTTCGACGGGAACGTCGGGAAGAGGAAAAACAGGTGAAACGAGCACTGAATGGTTTATGTTTATATTTTAAACGAGAAGGTCCATAAACATTTTACTCCTAAAACGAACCTCTATTTTATAAAAAATTACATATCTGGCCATTTATTTTTCTTTTAATAGATTTACTTATATTTTTAATAGATTAATTTATATTTTACATTAAACTTCCAAAAATCAATTACAAGTAACTTATATGAGATAATTACACTCTATGGTTCTTTTTAACTTTATATTTACGCTATATAGCACTTTAAGTTGAAGTACTTCTTTCTATCTTTCTTACGAGAAAAGACAAGAAACTCCCATAATCCTATATTTTACTAAAACCAAACCGATTTTAACCTCTTCTTTCTCTTCCTTAACTTTTTCCACCACCAACCACTCCTCATCTTACCAACACCATCACCACACTCTCCATTGCCTCCTCCACCCTCTTCATCTCCTCTTCCATTTGGCACCGATAGCACCACAAAAACTCGAATCTCCAATATTTTGTTTATATTTTTTAATGTTTTTATCTTATTGGACTAGTAGATCTGATTCTTTTCTTGGATTTTTTCCTCCCTCGTGTGATGCTGATAATAATCTAGTGTATCTCTTTAACCTCTGATTTGCTTCCTTCTCAGATTTTTTTCTACTTCTGCTTCCTTCTCAGATTTTTTCCTCTGATTTGCATTGTTTCATGATTTGTCCATATTAAATTGTATATGGCAGGATCCTATTTGTTCGTCTTTAAGTGTACGAACTTCGATGGACATAAATTAAACGTAAAAATATAATCATATAAGATCGTACCATTGTTTTTTGTTTTATGGGTGTATCCACGTGGACATGGTGACAAATGCTTTTGTGCAGATAATGAGAACTATTTTGTTTAGATATTTTCCACAAATATGTGCAAATAATAATGGGCTTGCTTGGCTTTAAATTGTAGATACTTTTGAGTCTTTTACAGTTTTTAAAGTTTTTTTTAGTCAAACATATTTTTTCTACTTTATTATTTTTAAAGTCTTCAAAGTAAGATTTTTTGTTTTTGGTCATGGATTTTAAAAGTTAGGAGATTTTACCCAAAAAAAACTTATAAAAATAAATATATTTTATTTTATTTTTAATTTCTTACTCCCCAGAATCATTCAAAAAAATTTATAGATATATATATATAAATAATTACTAAATAATTTTAACTAATTAAATCTTTTTTTTCTTCTTTCTTTTGAGATCCATTTCTTTATTTTTATTTTTATTTTTTATTTTTATTTTATTTTTTATTTTATTTTTTAAAATAAAAGTTAAATTTTAACAGTAAAAGTTTAAAAAGTAAAAGCTTACAGTAAAAGATAACAGTAGCAACTCTTACCAAACAGGTCTAATAACTATTATCGAACAATCACTAAGCAAACATCGAACAACAAGCAGAAATTCAAATCTAGAAATTTAAAAAATCTTGTAGATCGTCAATATATACCAATTAGACACAGATTATCCATTATATATATTTGCCATGTGGACAAGACAATATTGACCACATCCATGCTAGCCTAAACTAGATATGGTCACATCCATGGGTATAATCAAATGAATTTTGTACCATCATATAGCCAAACTATGAGTATGGTTACATCCACACACATGCCAGCATATTTCTCATCTAGCATTGTCACCCCATGCCTTTCATCCTAAATGGATCCATTCTCCAAATATGTCTACGTACTTTTTCTCACAAACCGTCATAATATTCTTATCACTAAATCCATATTAGCCAGCTGATTGTATTTTGTTCTTCATATACTCATCCCTGAATTTTTTATCTTTATATATGAATATGTACTTATTCAAAAATATAGTTATGACTTATCGCTATTTCATATGTGTCCATTATTTATGGAGTGCAAAAGAATTCTATTATATGAATGTTCTCATGTGATAACTATCTATGCACATATGTTTTCGTTCATATGGTTATAACCATATACTTTAGCTAATTCTTATAGCGTTCATATGGCTATGGCGTTATAGTCATGGTTATGGCGTTATAGTCATGGTTGTGTAGTTATGATTACGCGCATACGATATATATAGTTATGGTTATGGCATTATAGTCATGGTTGTGTAATCATGGTTATGGAGCTGCGGTAAATATTGGCATCCTCACATGTAAAACAGTTTCATGATTAAGTGGACAACACTATTTAATTTAATATATATGATTTCTTGAAATTACATGGTAGCGACTATATGGTTGTGTCATCAATAATTGTCTTTAATTTTGCTTATCTTGGAGTTCTAGCCCGCGGTTTGGACAACACCATGGACAACAGCGGAGACGGCGACATAGACAATAACAGAGATGACAGCAGCGGCAACCGTTTGTAGGGGAGAGAGGATTGTCTACAATAAGATTGACAATTGAAATTGTGACGGTAATGTTGGTAAGATGAAGAGTGGTGGTGGTGGAGAAAGTTTGTGACCACCATCGATGAAAAAAAAAATGAAGCGAACAAAGTGAAGAAAAGGAAGAAGAGAGATCTGAAAAGAGAGAGAGATCCAAGAGGAAGAGAATATGATGGAAAACAGGAAGAAGAGGGATCTGAGAGAGAGATAGAGAAATCTGAGAGGAATAGAACAAGATAGAGAAGAGGAAGAAAATGGATCTGAGAAAAAGGAAATGATGAGAAATCGATGTGAACATCAGAATCGTTGTCTCCGCCAAACTGCATTCAATATCGGTTTACTAGTTTTTGATTGGTTAAGTTTACTTAAATTTAACCGATATATTCTCCTTTTAAATGGGTAAAGGTAGTAAAATAATTTTTTTCGCCTAAATTCAAAGAAAGAGTTACCTTAAACTATAGTGAATCTGTAAATAAAAACTTAAAAAGAGTCAGTGTAAACGACTCAACTTATATATGACCCTTTGTTTAAAAATTCATCAGTCTAAGCGATTAATGGTTGCTAAACACGCTTCATCATATGATATCTTATGGGACTAAATTTTATGTGTCGCGTTGTGGTTAGTTAATACATGTAGATGAAAAGTATCCACAACATCAAACTTTTTATTGTTAACGACATAAATTGATTTATGTCAACTTGAATTCGGATAGGGACACAACAATACTAACACAAAGCATTAAAATACTTGTTTTTGTCCCCAACATCCAAATTACATTTCAACAATACTATAGAAAAGTGGAATCAATTGTGATCACTACATAATAACTTAGTACTGAATTAGATGTTTACTTATCTTAGTTGTGTATAAATTAAAACCGTATATAGAAGATTTTTTTAAAAGGGTTAAATCACTTTTCATATCCATATATATTAATGTAGTTAATGAACAATAAAAGAAAATAAATATTATACTCTGTAAATCAATAATTCCAGTTAACTATGACTACAACATACAGGTACAGTAGTATAAATAAATCTTGTTTGGGTTCATCTTAAAATTTTAACTCTCATGATTAACTCTCTCTTTTTTGTCCTGATAGTTTTGTCATAAATTCTAACAAGTTATCAGATTTGATAATTTGGGAGTTAATATTCACAACTGTTTTCTTACAATTACTTTTTAAGAAAAAGTTTTCCCATTAATTAAAGAGTAAATAGAGCAATAAAATCACTGTTGACACAAAAAATTAGCAATAAAATCAATATATTTGACCAGTTGAGGTTAATTTTTGAACATTTTGAAAGGAACGTTAAAACGAACAGGATTAATCAAATGAGTTTTATTTAAAGAAGATTAATCAATCATACGTGCAATTATCGAGACTTGTCGACGTGCCTCACCTTCGTTGACTTCACGTCTTAGCACTATTTCCCCACCTTCTCATCCAATCCCTCCACCATGTATAACTCGAGTCATCACCCTCTCTCGCCAAACCAAAGAAGTATCAGAAAAAATACACAATCAAACATGACTCAAGAGAAGTCGAAAGGTGCAAAGCACACGCTCCTAGAGCGGCCATGGTTCATCGCAGTTGCTCTAGCTGGTCTTATTGGTGGTGCACTACTCATCACGAGTTTCATCCGATCTACAAACAACACTTTATCACTATGTTCCACGGCTAAGACCACGGCCGCTTCCATAGCCGAATACTCAGCTACACCAATCCAACTACAATCCATCGTCCACTATGCAACTTCTCGCACCGTCCCACAACAATCTTTTGAGGAGATCTCAATCTCCTTAGACGTCCTTAAAGACCGTCTCCCTTGCAATTTCCTTGTCTTTGGCCTGGGCCGCGACTCTCTCATGTGGGCCTCCCTCAATCCGGGAGGCACCACTGTTTTTTTGGAGGAGGACCCTGAATGGATCGAGGCTGTCCTCAAGGAAGCACCATCCCTCAGAGCCCACCATGTTCAATACCGGACTCAGCTTTCTCAAGCTGACCGCCTTCTCTCTACATATCGGTCCGAGCCCAAGTGTTTACCTGCCAATGCTTTCCCCATCCGCTACAATGAAAAGTGTCCATTGGCGTTGACTTCACTTCCTGATGAGTTCTATGACACCGAGTGGGATCTAATCATGGTGGACGCACCAAAAGGGTACTTCGCAACCGCGCCAGGGAGGATGGCAGCGATATTCTCCTCAGCCGTCATGGCACGTAACCGGAAAGGTGCTGGCACGACCCACGTTTTCCTTCATGACGTTGACCGCAAAGTGGAGAACGCTTATGCCAATGAGTTCTTATGCCAGAAGTACAAAGTCAAATCTGCTGGTAGGCTCTGGCACTTTGAGATACCCAACGCCGCGAACATGAGCGATCAGCCAGGGGACCGGTTTTGCTAGAGTGCGCCGATATTAATGGATTCTTCGTTAATTACTTCCTTTAAATTTAAGACACCGCATAGTTCTTTTGAGTTTTAAAATCGTTTTTTCAAACATAAATATCCAGAGGCTTCTCATTAAAATAACTCATGTATTCTATCGTTGTTATTACTCTTTGTTTAATGTGGTTTTGTTATGGCTATTTAAAACATATATAGAAGTACACGAAAATTGATCTCTGTATTTGTGCTATTAGACATTTTAGACATTGGCATAAATTTTAGTGAAACTCTAAAGAGTGGGTTCTAAGAATACGATTGTCAACACTCTTCATGCTAAGGGTAATCATTTTGATTCACACCTTATCTAGCAAACAAAACCATACTCGTAATATACTAAAATTCCACATAATTTCTATTCGCAAAATATATGACTTACTTGTTAAAAAAAACAAATAAATAATATATGACTTACCCTTCAAACCAAACTGAATGAAATCTAAATTTTAATTAAGTCAGACCTAACAAAAAAAGAAAGTACAATTAAGAAACATCTAGATTTATACCCCATGTTAGCATATTAGTCGTTACTATTATTATCGATGCGTCATCGCTGGGATTTAAATCTAATTGTATATGTGTGTGGATTACATTTGGTTTTCGGAAATACTTTGAGCGAATTCAACTGAACCAAAGTTTTAAATTTTTTTTATCTATCTATCTATTATACTAAAACAGAAACACTTTTAGTGCTTGCTTCCAAACACTCCTAAAATTTTTTTAAAATTATTTATTATTTATTTATATTTAATTCCGAAAATTAGGTATTAATTTATATATTTTTAGATTCTCCTTAAATATAGTTGATAATTAATTTAAAACATTTATTTTATATTGATATTTAATTTCGAAAATTAGTTATTAATTTAGATATTTTTAAATTTCCTTAAATATAGTTATATTTAAATAAAATTTCAAATTATTCAAGATTTTTAATAACTATATATAATTACGAAAATTTAGATTTATTTTAATTTAAAATTCAAAAAAGTAAAAATTTTATAATTAAAATTTATTACAAAAATTTAGGGTTTAGAATTCTTTAAATGGAAATTTAATTTTAAATTTTAAATTTAAATTGTACTTTCATAATATCGCAAATGGTAAACGAATATCTTATTTTATTTTATCATAATTAAACGGTCTAAAATATCAAATATTTAAGATAAATAAATATTTATATTTTACAATAATATGATGGAGCTGATTAAGGTTATGTATTATTATACTTCGGATCCTATACGGGCTAGTTTGTTAAAACATGTAAGATATTAAGATAATTTGAGGTAATTAAATGAACAAGTTAGTCAATTTATAGATATATCTATTTTTATAATAACACAAATGGTACTTGGATATCTTATTATATTTTATCGTAATCAAATCGATCTAAATTCAATATTAGTAAATATTTTTATATAATAATAATATGATAGAGTAGGTTAGGGTTATGCATTTATAATTATATTCTTATACAAGTTAGTTTTTAAAAACATATAAAATATTAAAAAATGATTTAAGGCAACTAAACGGATTGATTAGCTAATTCATAGATATATAAATTATTTATATGTAAATCCACATAATTAAAATCATATAATTAAATTTACATAATTAAAATCACATAATAAAAAAATTTATAATTAACATTAAATCGAAATATACTTAATTAACTCATATTCTAATTCTACTAATATACAAATCTATACTATTTAAAGATAAAACATGATAACAAAATATCCTGCAAAAAATAGCTTGACACTAGGATGATGAAAAACTTAACACATCTCATTCTTATTATTTTTTCATATTTGAGAAATTGAAAAATAAATATTTTTGATTTAAGAAAATAAATAAATAATAAAAAAACTTATATATAAACAAAAAAATAAATACAAATTATATTAGGAAAAAAAACAAAAAATTCTCCTGCGGACGCACGGGTTTAGAATCTAGTTATACTATTAAAACAGAAGCATGTTTTGTGTCCAAACAAATTTTACTTAGTTTTCTACTATTATATTTTTGGATAACTCTTATTTATATTTCAAAACAAATCAATTTAATATAATCTTAATAAATTAATATATTTCTAATTTATATTTGAAAATAAATTCGAAAATTTAAATTTGAATTTGGATTTGTTATAAATTTCCTTAAATATAGGTATTTTATTTATCAAAAATCATAAAATAAGTTATTATTATATTTTTACAAAAATAATAAATCTGATATTAGTTTAGATTTAATTTAAAAATTCTAATTTAAATAATATTTTTAGTAAAAATAAATAAAAATAACATATTATTGTATATTTTTATTAAATAAGTCTAAAATTTTTAATATTTATAGTTAAAATGTATAAAATATATAAATAATATGAATGAAAGGGTTATAATTATTTTTTAATAATTGTGGTTCTTTTTGAATTAATATAAATAGACATGTTATAATGACGTTTTTATAATTGTTGTACTTTCGGATTAATATGAACGGATATGTTAGAATAATGTTTTTCTAATTACGGTCATATATATACTAGAAAAAATAAATCAATAGAAACAAATTATATATAAACAAAAATATATATATATATATGTATCACTTATTAGACTACTTACCTTGGTGGTGTTGAAAACTTTTTTCAACTGTTGTAAAGGTGCAATGGTTGTTGTAATAGTCTGTTGAATCCAATATGACATATTTGGTGTTGTAATTTTTCAACAGCCTGAATTTTCTGACTAATGGTGAAGGCTTGCCATGTGTCATATTAGTATTTGGTTAACAGATTTTGGATTTTTAGTGGAGCAAATGTTATGTTTTCATTGGCTGTCAAAATTCTGAATTTTTTTTTTCTCATCTCACTTATTTAACATCTATTATTTTATAATAATTATATATATATTTATATTAATATTTATATAAAAATATTTTCATTTTCATACTTTATAAATAGACATTTGTTTCATTTGATTTGGATACAGAAAAAAATTATTTTTTTACTATAATTTCTCTATTAGTCTCCATTAAACTATTATTAAACAATGGTAGGGTATGGTGTTGAATTTTATTAAATAAAATCATTGTAGATGATGAAAATTTAGTGGGTGTTGAATTAATAGGTGGAAGAGAGAAGAGATGATGTGGAGTGTAAAGTAGGTGTTGTAAAAAAAACCATTGTACATAGCCTTAGAAAATTAAATCTAAACAAAAATAAAATTTAAATTATATTACAAAATTTGATAAATTATTAATAGTTCACGGGGTAGAATCTAATAATTGTTGTGAAAACTTCTTAGAAACTTTATTAATCACTGGAATGTATATATAGAGTACATAGGGAATCTAGGTTAAGTACAATGCCCTGATGGGCCTAATGGGCCGGTATAAGAGTCCATATATGATATGTGTTATAACACTCCCCCTTGGACGAGTGAACCGGGTCAGCTACTCAATCGGGATCTCGATAATGCGCTGGGGAATGTTGCCTCATTAAAACCTTACCAGGAAAAACCCAGTGGGACAAAACCATGGTGAAGGAAAAAGAGTACAACATGCATTACTCCCCCTGATTGTAGCATCACTGCAGATCTCTAAGTCTATACATTCCTATCTGTTTGACGAGCTTCCGGTGTGTTGAAGTAGGCAATGATTTGGTGAAGAGGTCAGCTGAATTCTCACTGGATCGGACCTGCTGAACGCTGAGAGTGCCGTCCTTCTGCCAGTCTGAGGTTGAGAAGAACTTCGGTAGAATGTGCTTCGTCCGATCTCCTTTGATATATCCTTCCTTGAGCTGAGCTATGCATGCCGCGTTGTCTTCATACATCACCGTGGGCTGTGTGTCTTCGTCCATACCACAATCTCTGCGGATGTGCTGAGTCATGGAGCGCAGCCAGACGCATTCCCTACTAGCCTCATGAATGGCTAGGATTTCAGCATGGTTTGATGAAGTGGCAGTGAGTGTCTGCTTCATTGATCTCCAAGAGATGGCTGTTCCTCCATGCGTAAAAACGTAGCCAGTTTGAGACTTGGCAGTGTGCGGATCTGATAGATATCCTGCATCGGCGAAGCCGACTAACCCATCTTTATTTTGGTTAGTATAGAAGAGTCCTAAGTCTTGAGTACCTCGAAGGTATCTTAGGAGATGTTTTATACCGTACCAGTGCCTCTGAGTTGGAGATGAACTATATCGAGCGAGGAGGTTCACGGCGAAACATATGTCTGGTCTAGTGTGACTGGCCAGGTACATTAACGCTCCTACAGCACTGAGGTATGGCTTTTCAGGACCAAGGATTTCTTCATCATCCTTTTTGGGACCAAGAGAGTCATCACTTAAGCTTCTAACTACCATTGGGCTGGTCAATGGGTGAGCTTGGTCCATATTAAATCGCTTGAGTACCTTTTCGATATAAGCCGATTGATGCACAAGGATTCCTCCTTTGATGTACTCAAGTTGTAAACCCAAACAGTACTTTGTTTTGCCTAGGTCTTTCATTTCGAATTCTGCTTTTAAGCAGTCGACTGTTTGGGAGATCTCACCAGATGTTCCGAGGATGTTTAGATCATCCACGTATACTGCTATGATTACAAATCCTTTGTTTGAGTACTTCTTGATGAAGATGCATGGACTGATGGGGTCATTTTTGTAGCCTTCTTTGATGAGGTAATCGCTGAGGCGGTTGTACCACAAACGCCCACTTTGTTTCAGTCCATACAAGGATTTGTTCAGCCTGATGCAGTATTGATCTCGAGATGCATTTTTGTCTTTTAGTTCAATGCCATCTGGGAGTCTCATATATATTTCGTTGTCCAGGGGCCCATAGAGATATGCGGTTACAACATCTATTAACCGCAGATCAAGATTTTCTCTTATGGCCAGACTTATGAGGAATCGGAATGTTGTTGCATCCACCACTGGAGAATAAGTCTCCTCATAATCGATTCCGGGTCTCTGTGAGAATCCTTGTGCTACAAGCCGTGCTTTGTATCGAACGACTTCACCGAGTTCGTTCCTTTTGCGCACAAAGACCCATTTGTGGC